ACACCATCCAATACATATGGAAGAAATGGCAATTTTGTAGCCATCATATAAATAATTGATTCGGGCAAGAATCATCGTCAGATGATAAAACAGGTAGAAGTTTGATGAGAAATGGATCACCTACATAATCTAACACTTTCTCCCACAAGAAAAAAACAGCAAGTTCACAGTGGAGAAAACAAGTGGTCATCACCTCAATCACGGGGTCCATGTTGATGTGCACTTCCTGGTGTCATGCACTAAGAAGTCCTCATCACTTTTGTAATATTCCTGACAAAAACACATAATTTTATAACCTGAATCTAATTATGGGGAAACACCAGAAAAACACATGTTGAGGATATCCTACAAAAACTTGTCATGTGCCTTAAAAATGTCAGTTGTCAACCCCAAGGAGACATGAAAGGATTGTTCCAGGGAGGGAGAGACTAACAGCCGGCAGCTCAGTTCAGTGACCCCAGGGTAAATCTTGAGGGAAGAGTTTGCTATAAAAGCAACTAGCGCAATTTAAATAAGTTCTGCAGATCATATTGATGTTAATATTGTACAGTGTTAATACTGTGACTCCTATTTCCAGAAGAGAATATCCTTGTTAAGAAATACTACAGTACTGGGGCGCCTGCGTGGCTCAGTCGGGTAAGCATCTGACTCTTGATTTTGGCTCAGGTCATGATCTTGCAGTTCTGAGATCAAGCCCCAGATCTTACTCTTCACCCTGCTTAGGATTCTCATTCTCTCTCTCTCTGCCCCTCCCCTGTGCTCTCTCTCCCTCTCTCAAAATAAATAAATAAACTTAAAAAAAAAAAACCAACAAAGAAAGAAATGCTAAAGAATTTAGGGATTAAGGCACATCACATTTGCACCTTACCGTAAAATGACTTTGGAAAAATATACATGGAAGGAACACAATGAAGCAAATGTGAAATGTTAACAGCTGAAGAATGTTGGTAAGAGATAAACAGGAGAGCCTTTTACTACAAGTATAACTTTCCTGTAAGCTTGAAATTAAGAGAGAATTTCAAGTCAAGGCAGTAAAAATGGAATGTTCCATATATGTAGTGTCAGAGTACTTGGCTACTTCAAACTCTCTATTTTTTTTTTTAAATGTTTTATTTATTTCTAGGAGAGAGAGAGAGAGACAGCGTGAGCAGGGGAGGGTCAGAGTGAGAGGGAGTCACAGACTGAAACAGGCTCCAGGCTCCGAGCTGGCAGTCAGCACAGAGCACGACATGGGGCTCGAACCCATGAACCGCGAGATCATGACCTAAGTGAAAGTCGGACGCTTAACCGACTAAGCCACCCAGGCGCCCCTCAAACTTTCTCTCTAAAACTCCCCCAGATAAATTTAAAAATTTTAGTACAATTAATACATTTATTTAAGTGCTTCTGTCAAACTGGCAAGAGAGCAAAACCATCTGGAACTTTACACAGTAACCACAGTCACACTGTGCTTCCCACACTGTTGCCCCCACACCACTGTCCCCTTTGGGTGGGGGATCCCAGACCGACAGGGGAAGTGACTGGGACCAGGACCACATTACCGGGAAAGGGCCAGGGTGGGGGGCGGAGATCTCCCCACACAGGCTGACCCCAAAACCATGTGACTCTAGGGAAAAATAATGGTCCCAGATAAAGATTTAACAAGAGGGAAGGCACTAATTAAGGTTAAAATGGGTTAAAAAGCCAAAAGTGACAATGAAAATTTAGAAATAACCAAGACACTGGGGGCCACTAAAACACTCGAAAACCTGCAACCGTCAGGACCCCTGCAGGAGGAGAATGCAACCTGTCACGGGCAGTGGTCCCCCGCTCTCAGACACCTCGCCAGCACCAACGGACCCAGCTCTGTAGGATCCATGGCAGAACAGAGATCAAGCAATCCTAACAGATTCCTCCCAGCAGTGATGAGCGTCTCGCTTCTGCTTTCTCCAGGATTCCTCCAAGGGGCACACTTTATTGTTTTTTAGAAAACTTCCTAAAAAGATGATCTACTAAAAAAGGTCAATTATATGAGAGTGTCACTCAGGACAAGCTGTGCCCAGAGGAAGGGACCAGAGATCACCCTTCAGCACAGCATACGGCTCGTGGACCCCCAAGCTCAGGTGACAAAACCACGACTAGATACAGCATCCCCCCAATGGCTGCACCACCTGCCAGGACAGAAGGAAACCGGCAAAACACAACTAGAAAATCCTCCAATTTTTTTGGAAATAAAGCCTCATACTCCTAAACAACTCCTGGCCAAAGAAGAACTCACAATAGAAACAAAATAATTTTAACTGAATGATACACCAAGACTTACTGTATCTTAAGCGCACATTTAAAAAGAAAGCTGAAATCATTTTAGTATCCATCTAAGTTAGAAAAAAGAAAATAGAAAGAAAATAATAAAGAGCAAAAATTGGTGAAACCAAAACAAACACCAAATAAATAAACATGATAGAATCAAAGACATGGTTCTTTGAAAAGACCAGTGAGATTGGCAAGCAGCCAACGTCAGGAAGGAAATGAGGACATCAGCGGCGAGGCAACTGTCAAGCACCATGGGCCAGCTCAGTGCTGAGCCATAGAAAATGGAGCTAAAATGGGAAAATTCCCCAAACCATAGAAACACAGACAAAAGGAAATCTGTACAGTCCTATAACAAGAAACATGTAAATAAAAACTTAACCCTTTCCCTCAAAGGAAACTCCAGGCCCAAATGGAATTTCCAAACACTTGAGGCAGAAATAGCACAAAGCTGGGGCACCTGGGTGGCTCAGTCGGTTGAGCTTCCGACTTCGGCTCAGGTCATGATCTCACGGTTCGTGGGTTTGAGCCCCACGTCAGGCTCTGTGCTAACAGCTCAGAGTCTGGAGCCTGTTTCGGATTCTGTGTCTCCCTCTCTCTCTGACCCTCCCCTGCTCTTGCTGCGCCTCTCTCTCTGTGTCTCAGAAATAAATAAAACATTAAAAAAAAAAAAAAAGAAATAGCACAAACCTCACAAACTCTTTCAGAAAATTTAAAAAGAAAATATACTTTCTAACTCCTCTCATGAGTCCTGCATTACTTTCTTGGAAGAGCTTGACAAACACATTGAAGGGAAATAGCAGACTGGTTTCTCTATAACCACGGTTGTAAAAATCCTTTCAAAAGTACTTTTTTAACTGAATCCAGCGATATCTAAAAAGGAAAGCACATGACCCAACTTGAGTCTATACCAGCTTTGCTGTGAAGCAGGAAATAATGAGGTCACACTGGGGTGAAGGGGGATCTACAAAGTGAATGAACGTACCCCACAACACAGTGAGTCCACTCCTAAGCACGTGTCCTCAAGATAGGGGTACCCTGAGCCCCAAAAGACAGGTACAGAGTGTTCATGGCAAGATGATTCACAGAAACCCACTGAAAGTCCCCCAAGGATCCAAGACAAACCAACGGAGAGATGAAGTGTGGCATCTACACTGAACAGACACGCTGCTGCTTGGCAACCATCAGGCTGGGCCTTACAAGCACTAAGTCACGTGGAAGAGCCAGGCACATGAGTCTGGTTGTGGGACTGATTCCCCGAGTGTGGGATTAGAGCAGCCCGAGAACCAGGATGGCTGCTTCTGGTAACATCTATGTGCCCACTTCATAATCCATTAGGTACCACACATAAAAAGCTGTGCACCTCTCTGCACATGTGCCAGACATCAACAGGACACGCTTATTTAAAAACTACCATTTACGTGAACATAGGTGGAGTTGGAGGTATAGATCTTTTTGACCTTCATTAGGATGTTTCATTTTCGTGTTACAGCTGTGCCACTCTGAGTCCTCAATACACATATTTGATATAGAACTGACCTCAGAACACTGATTCCACTGGTATGCAGATTTTTCTCGATAAATATCATACTGCACTGTAAATATATTTCCTCTTCCTTATTATTTTCTTTGATTTAGTTTTCTCTAGCTTATTTTATTGTAAAAACACAGTATATATAACACACAATATACAAAAAATATATTAATCAACTACTTATGTTATCAGTAAGGTTTCCAGTCAACAAAAGACTATCAGTAAAGTTTTTGGAGAATCAGAAGTTAAATGCAGGTTTATGGGGCACCTGGGTGGTTCAATCAGTCGACTGAGCATCTGAATTCAGCTCAGGTCATGATCTCAATGTTTGTGGGTTTGAGCCTGCCTTAGATTCTGTGTCTCCCTCTCTTTCTGCCCCTCCCCTGCTTGCTAGCTATCTTTCTCTCAAAAATAAATAAACATTAAAAAATTTATTTATTTCGGGGCGCCCGGGTGGCTTAGTTGGTTAAGCGTCCGACTTTCGCTCGGGTCATGATCTCGTGGTTCGTGGGTTCGAGCCCCGCGTCGGGCTCTGTGCTGACTGCCAGCTCAGAGCCTGGAGCCTGTTTCAGTCTGTGACACCCTCTCTCTCTGACCCTCCCCTTCTCACGCTGTCTCTCTCTCTCTCTCTCCTAGAAATAAAATTAAAAAAAAAAAAAAATTTATTTATTTCAAAATTTTTTTTAATATTTACTAACTTTTGAGAGACAGAGTATGAGTGGGGAAGGGGCAGACAGAGAGGGAGACACAGAATCTGGAGTAGGTTTCAGGCTCTGAGCTGTCAGCACAGAGCCAACAGGGGCCTTGAACCCATGAACAATGAGATCACGACCTGAGCTGAAGCTGGACACTTAACCAACAGAGTCATCCGGGCACTGCCCCCATCCCCTGCCCAAAAAAAATTTTTTTTGGTTACACGCAGATTTACAACTGCACAGAGGTTTGGCACTCCTAACCCCTACGTTGTTCAGTTCAAGGGTCAGCTGTACTTCAGGGCATACAACTGGACTCAGGAACACTGGAAATCCCTTCTGTTATTAAATGAGTTTTAATCCACAGAGTTCCCTTCCTACAGTGAGCCACCCACCCCAGCAACAACATGCTCTGTGTCCTCTGTGGCAGCATCTCAGCTCCTGGCTCCTGAGATGGTGGCACCCTGTGCCAAGACCACCCTTACCGGATCTCCCTTGCCCTGTGGTCCGGGAAACGCTCATGGAAAAGTTTCAGTGCCTGCATCACAGCCGAGGTGCACTCCACATATGTGTAGTCGATCATGATGTCCCCTGGGAGAGGGAAGGAAAATTTGATGTATATGAGCTTCACGTGTCACACAATTTGGCAACTCAGACCACACCACGAAGAACGAGAAGGTCATAACATGCAGACCTATGTGGAATATCCAGAGCCTGATGGTCCTCCAGAGGAACAAGGGAAGAGCCCCCAGTGACTGGCCCGGGAGACATGGTCACTAGGTGGGAGAGTGACCCGGAGTCCTGTCTGGCTACAGGACAGCTAAGCCAGCAGGGGGGGAAAGGAGAGGGGTACAAGGCAGAGCTGTGCCCCAGCCCCCAACCAGACCACATTTAATAATTACAGGAGCAAGACAGAGACCTGCAAGTAGGGCACAGGGGCGTTTGCAAAGGCAAACTCAGGTGAAGGCACTCAGGTAAAGCGGCTGCCCTTGCAGACCGGAACCATGTGCACAGCAGGGAGGACACAGGACCTAGGGGTCCCTACCGACACCCTCCTGCCAGGTGCCTGAGCTCTGTGAAAAGCACACAAGACACAGGGTGGTTTCCACAGAGGATGAAAAACAGCAGGAGGCAGCCCAGGCTCAAGCCAGAGAACCAGGTGACTCCTCCGCCAACCTCCGAGAAACAAAACCACAGCGTTTCCATCTACAACCACAGGCACTATGGCCACCTTTGGAGTTCAAGGAGCACAGAACATTCCAGTGTTTAGAGAGTGCTCTTTAAAGGATCCACCTTCATCTGCCAACACCTTTGTTGGCACTGCTCCCGGCCTGGGGAACTCTGGGCTCTGATTGGTGAGTCCATCTCAGGGTGTGCAGGGCCCCTGGGTCTGCGTACCACCTGGCTGGCCGACCACTCACCAAAGACCTCTGAGGGGTTCAGCAGCTCCAGCAAGTACCCTCCACGCCTAGTCTCGTAGGTGGCAAACCCTCCATCAGAATTTCTCATGTTCATCAACTAAAACCAGAGAGAGGGCATCCTGAGAGTTTACCCATGCACGTAAGCAGGCAGTGAGCCCACAACGTGTGGCGGATCTTTCTAGAAACACCCAAGGCTAAGACGAAGGGCTCAGGGATGGGGAATGGGGACCAGTTCTCACGTTAAACCAAGACCCTTGGTACCTAGAGGAGTGGGCCACAACTTTATCAATCAGGTGCTCTACAAGCTGGGACCCTGACATGCACCTGCTTATCCATTTATAAGTCACATATGTGCTGCCAAGCCACACGATCTCCGTTGTAAAACACACAGAGAGTGGGCGTACTGAAAGAGTTTTGCACAAAAACAAATATAAGTTCTCATCTTTCTGCAAATACTCAGTGGAGAACACCAGCCCTCCTGAAGGCGGCCCCTGGGAGCAGCCAGATCGGCGAGTCTCCAGCACGGGGCTCACGGCTTCCCAAACACAAATGTCGTCAGCAGACGTGCCCCTCTGAGCTTGCAGTCTGACCCTGGGGATTCGAGGACACAAAAGCCACGGGAAGTGCAGCTCCTGCACAGCAGCCTCACCACAGCAACGGCATCGTAGAGACGCTCTTGTGCGACATGCTTGGTGATAAAAGGACACTCTTCCTGCAGGAGAAGGATGGACTTCAAGGCCTCAGCTGTGCAGTCAGAAACAACCCAGCCGCAATCCAGCGTGCTGAAGGGGAAGCCGCCCTAGAAAGCGTGGGGCCAGTCATGGCCAGGGCACAGGGCTGAGCCCGCACCCAGGTCTTCAGGACCACCCGAGGTGATGGCACCTTCCTCACCCAGGCAGAGCCCTGGCCACCATAAAGGTGCAGCCGCAGCCCTACACTGCACATATGTGGACAGCCCCTCAGAACTGCTGGGAGAAGGCATGCCCCGTGTCCATGCTCGCACATACCCAGAGGAGCTGCCCTCCACCCTCCGCAGCTCCCCCATCGCCCTAATCCACCTTCGGACAGCGTATCTGCTGTCTTATAGCATCTCTGAGGCGCAGATGTGTGTGTGCACACAGCACCTGATGTGGCAGCCCCGCATGGCTCACTACCCCATGTGCATGACTCCCCAGTCAGGGAAACCTTGAGTACGTTAGTGGAACCCCACACTGCGTCTATCAGAGCAAGAAGCCCCAGGAGACTGAGGGAAGAGCCCTCTCAAATAGCAAGGAATAGCTAACTGTGGCGGTCTCTTCTGGGGCGCAGGTTGTAGGACTGGGGCAAACATACCTTGCACATCTGGCGGTAGTACTTCTGGTAGTCAGGGGGGTTGTCTATGACCTGGGCAGCATCCACGGCACATATGCGGGAAACAGAGGAGGCCCATGTCACCATCAGATGCAGATACCAGAGCCAGCAGGGGATGCTACAGAACACGCAGGGACCCAGAGCCACCACCGTACTGCTCTCTCTACCATCAGGGCCAAAGGCCCCCTTCAAGGCATCACCCTGTGGCCCACGGCCCACCACTCCCATCCACTGTTGGGGAGACACGACCAGGGCACTACCCAGCACCGGAGAGGGCAGGCCAGGGTGTCAAGGCAGAGGCAAGGAGGTGGTACCTCTGCCTGAGGAAGCCTAACCACCCCCAGGAACAAGTCAGATCCGACCTCACCTGTGAGAGCCGGATAAACTCGTGTGCCTCCTGCAGGGAAGACCAAAACTCAGACCTGTGTTGTGCCCCCGCCTGGAAGAGACAACGAGGCTAAGCCACTCGCTGACACAAGCCTGCGCAGGTGAAGTGGTTCCCAGACAATCCTGGTGACATCTTGCCACTACTGGGAAACAGGAGCAAACGTACCAGAGTCTCAGGCTCTGGATTCTGCTGATGAGTCAGAAAGGTGTGATGGAGAAATGAAGGAGGCAGAAGAGACAGTCCACACCACATCCGGCTGACCCCAGCCCGTGTCTAGAGGACCCCTGCCCTATCTAAAGCAGACCCCACGTGGCCCAGACCACTCTTCAATGTTCTCCAGAATGTCACCACTCTCAATCCCACCAGCACAAAAACACATTCTGGTTTCCCTCTAGCATGTGCTCAGAGGTATCTGTAATGAACAATCTGAATGTTGAGAAAATCCTAGAGCCCACTCTCCCTGCCAGAAGCTTCCTGCCCTGTCTCCCCAGGAACAGACCTTACAGGTTCCCTGCTCCTGAAGCCTGCCAGCCGGCCTACCAAGGCAAGATCACTGCCTCAGCAGGACCATTGCCGGAGGCCTTGGAGTCCAGGTGGACAAAGAGTCAGGGCAGTGGGTGCCACGTCCACACTGGGCGCAGGGGTGGGCACCTAGGAAGGTCAGTTGGAGGCTGAAAAACAAGGAGGCAGAACCACTTACCTCTAGAAGAGCCTGGATGGAGAACGAGGTGTCCCACACCTGTGAGCCATTGGTGCCCTGCACGCAAGCACAAGCCATTAGAACAGCAGCTGCAGCTCCCTCACCCACCTATCATCGCCCAGGATCCCCTGGGCACCTAGGGGGCTGAGGAGTCTGAGGGCTTGCAACAGCTCCTGCTAAGTGGTGGGAGCCCAGCCAACTCCTGACCCTAGGCTCCGTGTTCTGTGCACCCCTCGACGCCCATGAGGGTCAGAGAGGGGCTGTCCCTGCAGACAGGTGAGAGTCCGGCAGCCCCATCTGCCTTCACCAGGCCACCAGTTGGGACAGAACCCTCTAAAGGCACTTCCAGTATCTGGACAACCACTGCCTGTGACCTCCACTGCCCCAATACCCAATGACAGGCTTTTGCCCCAATCACAACGATTACCAGAAACACCCCCTTACTTCTGAGTACGCCTAGAGATGGTGGGGCCTGGCTGAGGCCTCAACAGAGTTGGGAAGGCCCCCTTCAAATCCTACCCTGAGAGCCTAGTTCACTGGTCAACACTCTGGCCCCACCTGAATGCCAGTGGCCAAATCCCAGTGACACCAAGATAGATGGTGACAGACACTTGGATAATAGGGACAAGTATGGCAATGCCAAAGCCCAGACCAATTGGTGGCACTGAGGGGGCAACAGAAACCATGGCCTTGCAGGATAATATGTAGGAAGGACACCTGCCACCAGGAAACCCTCCTGTGGCCAAAAGAAACCTGAACTGGATCAAGCCTCGGGGTCTAATCACCAGTTGCAGGAAATACAGGGCACAGAGGAAACAACCAGTCAGATCCAGGAGGAGGACGCTCTAGGAACCAATCAGTCATACAGGAAGGATTGGCAAGCACCCAGGAGACCACTGGACAAAAGTGGCTTTGAGGACCAGCCACCTGGCTCAAACCCTGATGCCAACAAACCTGCCACAAAACCAAACTAGAGACTGTCATCAACCCTGTAAGGCAACAGCACAGTGATTTTGCAAGAACAAATTAAGCTCAGAAGCTCGAGGAGTCAGAGGGGATGGAGAGCCCAGACAGGGGCTCATCACCTGCCTCCACTGGCGTGTACGAGTCAGGGAGCAGGGAGTGAGGCAAGGACACCGAGGTGAGCTCTGTACTAGGCCGTGCTGGGACCATGTGTACCCGTCCCAAGGGCCCGTGGCCTATCTGACCCGAGATCACTGCTGGAGGCTCTGTGTTTCCATACTCAGCCAGGTAGGTGATAGTATACACTGTCACCAAAACTCCCACAGGGTAACGCAACGGTTCCCAGGCTCACCGCTCTCAGATCAGCCCCAGCCACATTGCAACCAGACACCTCCACACACAGGAAACGAGCCAGGGAGAGAGGTGGTGGCAGAACACCATCTACGATAAACAGCACGAAGAACGGAGCAGCGGGCATAGAGAAGGGCCCTGCGGGAGCGCATCTCAGCCAGGGGCGTGAGGACATAGGGCTGGGGCGTGAAGCACAGGCTCCCTTCCTGCCTGACGCCCGCCTCCCACAGGGGAGCTGCAGACCCTTGGCCCTCCCGCAGCCCTCAGGGCCTGTCAGCACCCCTGCCACATGGCATACACCCAGGATGCGCCCCTGCTGTCTCCGCAGACGCAGACTGGGGATACCAGCAGCCTCTCAGCACATGCTGCCAGAACTCACTGTGAAGACTTACTGAATGTTAACAGACCTAAAGAGCAGGAGAGGTTGAAAAGAAGCAACTGGCCATGGCCTTATAGCCTTTACCTGCATTTTCATGCCATCGAGGCCCAGCCTGTGAAGACAACAAAAGCCCAGGTCAGGAAGTAGAGGGGAAAGAGCTGAAGTCAGGCGGCCACCCAGAGCCCGGCTCACCCCACTTATGGTGGCAGACCCACCCAGCTGCCAGAGGGAAGAGAGCCCCCTCGAATGCGGGACTCCCTGCCATGGGACACCCTGGGGCACACCCACCCACCGTGGTCCCAACTGCATTCAGTGACTGACCCGTTACTCTCACTGGCAAGGCCTTTATGACATTCAACGGAACCTGCCCCATGCACCCCCAGGCTTCCTAGCTCTACCTTCCCAAAGTACCAGAAGTTCCTGCCATGTAATGAATCTTTCAAATCAAAGATAACCCTCACCATCTTCCACAAACCCTGAAATTCCTGGTTTCAAATGTCACTATACATACATGGGATCTCCACGCCTACCATGGTGCCAGGGGCTCTCAGCCACGTGCATCAAGGACGGAGTGTGACACTGACCAGCCAGGCCCTTCCCAATGCACTCACCAGAGGAAATCAGGAATCCTGGAGATGTGCTCCTGGAAGGCAGGGGAATCTGGCCCGTCCACGTACCAGCGCACAAGCATGTTGATGGTTTTTGAGATCTGCAGGAGACACAGCTGAGTCAGGACCCTGCTCCAGACCCGCAGTGGCTCCCAAGCATGAGGCCCACAGCCCTAACGTGGGGCCCCAAGCACAGCCTCGCTCGGGGCCGGACCAGGCCTTCAACTCTAAGCAGAGCACTCACTGCTTACCAGGCAGTGAGTATTTTAAGAAATGTTTTGATTTATTTTTTAATGTTTATTTTTGAGAGAGAAAGTGCATGCGCGAGTGTGGGGGAGGGCTAGAGAGAGAAGGGGACAGAGTATTGGAAGCAGGCTCTGCAATAACAGCACAGAACCTGATGCAGGACTCAAACTGACAAACCACGAGATCATGACCTGAGCTGAAGTCAGATGCTCAGCTGACTGAGCCAGCCAGGCGCCCCTGGAGAGAACGTTCTAAAGGCCCAAACCTCCCACTCTGGCATCTTGTAAGCAGTAAGTACTCTTCTCAAGTAGGTCAGACGTGCTTTACTCAGCGCTGAGCCGAAAGCCCACGAGAATCAAACTGCTGCTAAAGGGAACACGACTCCCTGCTCCGTCAAGGCAGCATAACCCACCAGGCTGCCAGAGGCCCCACAGAACACCAGGGAGCAGGCTGCAGAGTGGAGCTATGGGAGGCCACACCAACTGGACTTCCCCAGAAAGGCTGTGGCACGGCCCGCCAGGAGCCCCAAACCACGATGTCTCCCGCAGGTGTCACCTCACGGCTGTGAGGCAGCCCCCCAGCCCTGTACTGTCTGGGGTACGCCCGCCTCTGTCAAGCCCCATGGCCTCACGGTGCAAAGCCAGGTCAGGAGGCTGGAGGCTCAGAGGTGAGAGCTCCGAGTCACCAGGCACGGGCTGGAACCCAAGCGCCCCGGCACTCCAAACCCCACAGAACAAGGGCAGAAAACGAGTTCTGGGGGAGATGCTCAAGAAAGGACAGCATCCCTCCCAGCAGCCAGAGAGATCTTGACAGGAGGCCCCAGCAGGCTCACTGCACACACACGAGGTGACAGGGAGGGGAGGGAGTGCTAAGTGCAAGGCACAGGGGACAGATGGGGAGTTCTGTCTGCCAGGCTCTGCTGGGAGACCTCACCCCCAGGAAGACCCCCACTCCCAGCTCCAGAGACTGGCCGCAGGAAGGTCTTCTGCCCCAGCTCCTCACCCCACCAGGGCTGCAGTTGGGTGCCCACCCCAGGCCCAGACACCCCGCGGTGGGATCACTGACCGGGCCGATACTAATGTACTTGGAGAAGCGGTCATCAGCCTCAATGTGCTCGTACAGCTTCTGGATGGCCTGCTGCCGCAGGCTGGTGCTGTGGTGGCCCTCGTACAGGTTGAGTAACACTGCAGGGAGCCAAGGGTGTCAGCACAGGGCAGCCCCTGGGGCCTTCCCCACCACCCTCCCTGACATCCCAGTGTGTCGCCCCGCCCTGCCCCCATTGCTGTGTTTAGGGTCCGCTCCCCCAAGTGGAACTGCCGCCCGGGTGCATCTCAGCACTGACTGGGGCAGGGACCCAGCTGCCACCCTAGGGCTCAGCATAGTAGACATGAGCAAGGTGACATCTGTGAGCAAGGGAACATGGCCCTTCCACAGATGGCACCCCACGCTGGGCCCCAGGCCACCAGGGTTCTCGCGGGAAGACGGGTCTGCCCTGAGGGAAGAAACGAGCGTGCCCTCCAGGCCCGCAGCCTCCCATCCTCTCGTCCAGGAGCCCCAGCCCCAGGCCGGCTCCAGAGGCGAAGACAGGGCAGGCCTACTGGGCACACAGCACACGTGGTAGCGCTGGTCACCACAGGACCCAGACGACAGGCGGTGGGGAAGGGGAGGAGAGTCAGCATCACTTTAGGTATGGGAGGCCCACCAGCCCCTCAGGAAGCACCCACCGTACACCACACGGAGCAGCCAGCTGTGCGGGGTGTACAGATCGTCAGGGCTCACGTTGTCCCTCTGCGCCGGCCAGTCGATGCAAGCGTAGTCTTGCACGTAGAGCTCCTGGGGGGGGGGGGGCAGCAGCACCTCAGCACCCCCTCTGCCCGCTCCCTTCTCAAGGGCACGCCTTAATGAACCTCTGCATCCCCTGCATCCCAAGCCCCATCTCAGTACCTGCTTCCCCAGGACACACTGCGGGCCAGGACTCTGCTCATAGGTGCCTTGAGGCCATCCCAGCGTGCAAGCCCCTTTGGGAAGTCACTTAGGGTACGGGAAGATGGATATGGGGCCCAGCCCTGCAGGGTCTCAAGCAAGCAGCCATGTGCAGTCGGGACTCGAGGGTAACCCCATGCCTGGGGTTGCTGCCCAGGAATTCTTACCTGGCGGAGGCTCTGGACCAGTGGGTCCTCCTTAGCGCTCAGCCGGATGGCGTAGCAGTAGCTCATGGGCAGGTAGACCTGTCGGCAGTGGCACCAGAGTGTGGAGGGATGTGCAGGCACCCAGTCAGGAAACAGCCTGGGGAGGCGGCATGTCAGCAGGAGACCCTAGCCCCCGCCATCACCGCCACTACAGCCCCAGGCCTTTCCAAGGGTGGACTCAGGGCAGATGGCTGTGCCTGCCCCAAGTCACCATGTCACAGCCATGCTCCAGTGGGGTGCCGAGGGGCACAGTCTGGAGGAGTGACAACCACTCCTCTCAGTTCAGCAGGACACATCCTAAAGCCAGGAGACTTGACTCCTAAACTTTCAGGACTGTCTGTGGGCTTCTCAGCTGGGACAAAGGTACCACTAATGTAAAATGTTAATAGAGAAACAGGATGAAGAGTCTATAGGAATATTCTATTTTTTAAAAAATATTTTTATTTATTTCTAAGAGAGAGAGAGAGAGAGAGAGAGACAGCGTGAGCAGGGGAGGGTCAGAGAGAGAGGGAGACACAAACTCCAAAACAGACTCCAGGCTCTGAGCCGGCAGTCAGCACAAAGCCCAACGCGGGGCTCGAGCCCACGAACCGCGAGACCCTGACCTGAGCGAAAGTCGGACGCTTAACTGACTAAGACACCCAGGCGCCCCAACAGGAATATTCTAAACTATCTTTGCAACTTTTCTGGAAATTGAAAACTATTATGAAATAAAACGTTTATCTAAAACCCTTTAGAACTGGCACATCTTCCCAAGGACTGAGGCTTTGAGTTACCTCTACCAAAACATTTTTGCCCAGACGGTTAGCCTGACTTCAACATACACAGTTCCGCCAGCTTCCCGGATAGGTGGGGACCCAGAGTATTTTCCCCACACTTTCCCTTCAAGCCTCCCGTCCTTGTGTGTGAGAGGTGTGGGCAGGCCAGACACGAGCTGGGCAGGCGCCTGCTTCTCCCACCAACCGTGTCTTCAGGCCACTTCCCTCACCCTCAAGGGCTTGTCCACGTACTTTAAAGAAGGTTATTTTATAGTCTCTCTGTAGCTGGTGGTGCACATTCCTTTCACCCTCTACCCATCCTTCCAACACCTGGAAAGACTGGCAGTGCCCTCACGGCCCAGCACTGACTGCCAGGTCCACCATATAGGGGCACAGACGATAGTGCCCGGACACCAGCCTCTGACACCCATATGCCCTCCTGGCACTGCGCCCATTCCGTACACACCGGGCAGGCCCAGGGTGCATCCGGCAAGCTGCAGTGAGCGCTGCTGGCATGGCCCCAGAACGCCTCCCGCCTCCTCACAAGTGCAGGCCTTGGGTAACAGTGCTCCTGCCACTGCCTTACCTCACCAGCCCTCAAGGCTGCAGAGCCTAGGCCCCAGCACTTTCATCAGGACCCTTCCCTCGATGCCTGTCCTCCACCAAGGTCATCTAACACAAAAGCCCTCCAACCTCCCTGACAGCTTTCTGGGGGGCTGTGACGTCACTGATGTGCTCCCGGGAGCCAGCAGGGGCTCTAGCAGGGGGCTTACCTCCTAACGGGGACTCTGGAGGATCTACATGCACATGAATGTTCTCTGGGAAGACGCCCACAGCTTTCAGTAGATATTTGCAAAATGTGAATATCACTGATTTGAAGTATCACATAGTAAGCAATTAGTGTTGATTTTGCTCAATATTTTTTAATGTTTATTTTATTTTGAGAGAGGGGGAGGGCACGTACATAAGCTGGCAAGGGACAGAGATGGGGGAGAGAGAGAGAGAACAAGAATTCTAAGCAGGCTCCTAGGCTGTCAGCGCTGAGCCTGACATGGGGCTCAATCTCACAAACCAAACAGGGAGATCACGACTTAAGCTGAAATCAAGAGTCAGATGATCAAAATACTGAGCCACCCAGATGCCTCGATTTTGCTGAGTATTTAAACAGCATTGTAGTTCTGTTGTAACATGGAAATTCTTCTCTTTTAAAGATACACACTGAAGTGTTCATAGGTAAAGTATAATGGCGGGGATTAACTTTCTCATTCACCGGCAGAAAATGAAGGGACCAGAACAAACAGCACAGCACATGCCAGTGCTGAGGCTGGCGAGGGCTGCGTGGCCTGATGCTTTCTTGTCCTACTTCTACAGATGCTCAAAACGTCCTAACAAGACACAGGACAGCCACGTGCAACAATACCAGAGCTTCATACTCCCCACACCACTGGTTCTCCCAGCCCCGCAGGGCCCCACCCACCTGCCACATGGCCCACCCCCACGCGGCCTCCCTCTGTCCTGCCCAGCTGGGAACCCCTTCCATCTGTCTGCAGGATTCAGCCAAGCAGGCCTCCACCAGGAGCCTAACACAGCCACACTCCACAGAACGGACCCCCTCTTCATCTGGGTAATAGGCAGCAAGTGATCCAGGGCCCATCACGCAACTCAGCAAGACACTAGCAACCCAACCACACATCAACCTCAGATGGACAAACATACCACATCTCCGGGAACAGAGTGTTGAGGCCTTCCCAGCTGTAAACATTCAGGACAGCCAACCAGAACTTCCCCCAGGAGGGGATGGACACAGCACCACCTGCGGAAGAGAAAAGGCCCAGATCATCTGCCTCTTACTATGAAGATTAGCTCCTCAGGAATCATTGTGCTGCTGCTTGCATGAAGTGAAGACAGTGCTAAAGATCTTCCAACCCCCGATGAGAAGCAGGTTCCAGAGCTGCTCAAGACTGCCCAACAGCACAGTTGCTGGGTGGAACCAGCAGCTTCCCCAGAATAAATGTGTCCAGTCAAGAGAGACATTCACAGCCTCCACCTGCAGGAAGGCAGCTACCTGGGCAGGCAAGGAGCCCAGATGCACGCAGCAGCCTGTTTCCACTCAGGCCTATAGAAGGTGATGAGGGGAAGTGAGCACATACTTAGCTTTTTCCCTATGGGGACCATACCCAGCTGGTTCCTCATCTGGGCCTCCCCACTTGGCAGACATATCCAGACCCCAACATGGCATTCGGAGACACTCAAGGCCCCAAATTGCGACCAGTTCCAAAAGCACCAGGCCTAGGCACAGAAATACTGTCCACAACATGCTTCCCAATGAGGCCTCACCCCAAACCCAGGTGTGTGAAGTCAAACACCCACAGAGCTACTACGCAATTCCTTCACCAGGCAAGGAACCAGAAAGCAGCCTGGAGGCTAATGACGAATTCACCATCAGAACAACACCCATGAAGAACACTGCAGGATCTCATTAGAATGCCCACCAAGAGGCTTACTCTAGCATGGTGGGTGAGGAAGAGTCGACTCCCACAGAAGTGACCATTGCAGTGCCGGATGAAGGCTAAGTAGGAGTTCCTGGGCAGCAGGATGGGCGTGGGTCAGGAGGCCCTAGGCAAACGAAGCACTACATACAGGGTCCCAAGGCAGGAAGGGGCCTCAAGGGGCCAATGGGAGGCCTCTGTGGGAGGACCGGCAGATCACGGAACATCCGTGAAAGACATGCGGGAGAGACCTCACCGGGCATGTAGAGCAGTAAGAGCCAGGGTGCCCCCCCATAGCTATAGTCTGTCACCTTCAGAGTCCAGAAGGGAGGGAGAGGCGCCGGCTGCTGGAAGCCCCACAGAGGGAGGGTGACTGTGGGGCTGAGAGCAGAGCCAGCTGCCTCCAGAAAGGCCGCTCCAGGTATACCCCTGCCAGCAGGCGCTCGAGGACTACTGGTTGAGTCTTTGCCAATGGATGAGACAAACGGGATTATGCGCTTATCTTAACTCCTTTTTGGAAAAAAAAAAAAATACAGGCTTTGTCCACCTCTTTCTGCTTTGATGGATCTGTTCACATGTTTTGCCCAGGATTTCAAGTGGAAGCCTATCTTTCTAGTTCTCATTTGCTAGACCTCATTATGCCCAGGTGATAGAGACCCTTAATCCAATGCATGCTGTGCCGGAGGTACCTTTCTTGTGAAGAATGTTCCGGGCTCGTACCAAGTCAGGATCGTCAGGGCCAACACCCAGAATTCTCAGAGACACATAGTTGAGCACAGTCCCAAACATCGTGGACTTGCCCTCCACGTGCCTAGGGGAGCAAGAGACGGAGTAAGAGAATGCCATGTTTCATTACTTGTAAGAAATTAAGCAAGGCTTTCAGCAAAATTTCCTCAGAAAATCGAAACTACTAAATTACTTTACACTGATACAACATGACAACATAATAAACACCCAGAACAGCCATTCTCCAGTAAGAATTCAAGTGCCTCCTGTAACTGAACGCTTCCACAACTGCCTGTGCAGGACCTGCCTGTCTCCTCGGCTTCCTTCCCGTGCCTGAATCAACATGGCCAGTCCCAGGGCACAAACCCAACTAAGGCTCCTTCTTCACTACAGCACACAGAACAAGCACCAGAGGCAACGTGTTAAGGCAGGCCGAGACCTTGTGTCTGTCCAAGGGCACTAGTGACACCTAAACATCCGCCAAGATGCACTGGGACCTGCAGGCCTGCCCGAGAGCCAAGGCCTTAAGCTTGAGGCCCACAACTCTGTCAAGGGATGAAGAGAGGCTGGGCCATCCTCCAAGAATTCTAATGGAGAATTCCTGTGGTGTGGATTTAGCCCCCAGAAGGAACCCCACCCCTGGGTGTAGAATAAAGGGCAACAGAACCCATGACCAGGGTGGACAGGGCAGTTGACCACCTCAGGGGAAGGCCCTGCTCCCAGAGTGAGCTAGGTGTCAGAAGGGCACACTGAGACCTGGGGAGGGTTACCTGGCCCCCTTGACTCTACCTGCTGCCATCCCAGGGTCCAGAACAATTTCCTTGTTCCTTAACAATAACAGCTAGGTGGCTTTCTGCGGGGTGTGGGTCTCAAGAGCCTGTCAACCAGTCATAAAGTCCAGGTATGACACAAGCTGTGAAACCAATGACCAGAAAGGGAGCAGCCACCCATTGTGAGACCCCTGGGAAACCAGAGTTCAGCACGCACACAGCATCCAGCCAACCTCCCTCCTCCCGGGTTCTCCACCCACCCACCCACCCAGGTCCAGAGCTATAGTCACCCCACCCTTGACAGGTATCCCTACATATGAACATGTGTGCAGTAACAAAATGACTCACAGGCCCCAGCCGCCATCGGGAAGCTGCACTGACCGCAGGTATCGCTCTATCTCTTCTTTATATCCTGCTGGCAGACGGATTTGCATCACGTGGCATGTGATCAGAAGGCCTGTGTGGGAGAAAGGATGTTCCTCACTGGGAGGAGGAATACTCAGCACTGCCAAGCCTAGGCCCCTTTCCTCCCAACCCAACAGGGAGCTATCTCCGAGGGTCTTCTTTGCATGGAAATGTGCCTGAGAAGGCTATTCTTCCTGGTCTCATGAGGGACTTTGGGAGTGAGGGCCCAGGGAGCAGCAAAAACACAGGACACTCCCTACATAGGGTGTGCAGAGCCCACCCAGCCAGTCCAGGCCCTGCAATACTGTCCATACCTGCTGGAAAAGAAATACCAAATGGGTCTCCCCTGGACAGGATGAGATTTATTGCTTATGTTTCTCTGTTATATACATTTTTTTATAAGCACTTATAGGGATTTATTTATTTATTTATTTTCTGAGAGAGAGAGAGTCAAGAGGGATAGAGTGGCAGAGGAAGACAGAGAATCTTAAGCAGGCTCCACGCTCAGTGTGGAGACCAATGCAGAGCTTGATCCCACGACCCTGGCTCATGACCCGAGTTGAAATAAAGAATCAGATGCTCAACTGACTCAGCTATCCCAGGCGCCCCTATAGGTTTTTTACTAGCATATGTCACTTTGCAAATGGGGGAGATGAACAATAAGCATTACCCAACCTAGCCCTCCTCAACATGGTGCTTCCAGTCCATCTTCAACCCTACCCCCATCTCCTCCAGCACTGGCTCCATCAGCCACATGCCTGTAGTGCCCTGCGAGGGGGAAGGTGTCTTGGGGTAGGACCTAGCCATGCACCATGAGATATATGCCTGGCTCTAGCTCAGAGGCATCAGAAGTTCTGGAAGACACAGCCACACACAGAAACAGCCTGGAAAAAGGACAGCTAGGTCTGGAGATGCTACAGAGGTTCACAGAAAAAAGTCATTCCAAATCAAGCCCATCTCTTTTCATCATAGTTACAATGCTGTCAAGACACGGAAACACATGTGGGCAAGAAACAGAACCAGTGTCTACCCATCTTCCAGGCAAGGAAACTGAGGCAGGGGCCCCAAGTGGTAGGGCTGCGGCAGTAGATCAGAGGGTTGAACCCCACAATCAGGGCTCACAGCAATACAAATATGTATACATGTGACCAAATCAACTCCCCATATCACATAGGAGGCGCCAAGGAACAGTGAAGTCCTGTCACCTTGTCCAGGGTCAGATCAAGCCAATGCATGTCACTGCCTTCCCATAAAGATCCCTTGGAATAGTCAATGCCACATGAATCACACTCAGTTAGGAACTGTCTATACAGAATCATGGCCCCTGCCCAGGAGCCCAGGAGCATTTTCTAAATTAAAGCAGATAAAGGAAGGACTGGTCAAAGCTCAGCCAGCCATGTAAGAACACTGGAGTGGTTCCTCACAGAACAGTGTCAACCTGAGGAAAAGGGTCTATCCAGAGCCCAAAAAGGGGAAGCCCAGGAAAAGCCCCAACCTTCAGCCTGCAGAGAGGAGAAGCCCCCACTGGATGAGCCCAGAGCTGCAGTAGCAAGCATAAAATAATGCAAGACCAAGAGCTCCCTGCATGCCTGGTATTGTACACGTACGGCCTAACCTGACTCTCATCATCTCCATGTCACAGATGAGGTGGCTGAGACACAGTGAAGTCCTGTCACTCTGCTCAGGATCAAGGCAAGCCAGTGGGATCAAGTGTCACCGATTCCCTATGAAAATCTCCGGGAATAATCTCAAGAGGCTCCCGGGGTGGGGGGGGGTGGGGGGTGGGGTCAAGGGAAGAAAAAGCCCCTTGACTTGCCCCTAAGAACAGGCCCATGGGTTCCTGGATAAGAAGATATAATGCTGTACAGCCCAGGAGAGACAAGAACATGATGGATTCCCAATGCTCCTTCCACTAGGAGAAAAGAGTCCTACATAAATTCAAAGAGAATTTCTCACAATACATGGCCAAGTATTTCTTTAGCGACACACTCTCAGAACACAATGGTCTTATCTGGACAAACCAGTTCAGTACCCAGGAGGCCCAAGTGCAATCCTCCTAGGACTCAGCCAACTGAACCTGCAGCTTCTCTGCCCAGGCTCCCTCAGCCACCCCTTCAAGGTTAGGTTCACACACTCAAGCTGCCTGGCCTCCCTCAACCTGCCCAAAGAAGCCTTAAAGATCTCACCCATCAGGGCGCCTGACTGGCTCAGTTGGTGGAGCACACAACTTCTGATCTGAACTTGGGTTGTGAGTTCAAGCCCCACATTGGGTGTAGAGATTACTTAAAAATAAACTGTTAAATATTCAAAAAATCCCACCCTTCACCTACCCACTATAGCTAGCACTTTTACATAGGTTAGGTCCTCACCCTGGAGTGTCCCTGCCACTCTGTACTGGGATTCAAGAGCCACTCTTCCCCTGTCCCCTTGCTTCCCTTAAGAGAACACTGGGCAGGCAGTGAACACTGGGAATGGCACTCCATCCCCCAGCACCAACACCAGGACAACACAGGCACAGGGCAGTCCTCCAGAGACCTCTTCCAAGTAAGCTCCTGGGTTTTCACCTGCTTACTCATTCACACCACAACATTCACCAAGGGCCTGAACCAGGCCTGACCAGGACCCCAGGGCAGCCTCACCCACAAGCTGGGGCAGCACCCACCTACCTGGCAGGAGGAAGAGTGGGCCGCCATAATCACCTGCCCAATGCCCATCCTCAGCCTGCAGCCCCACATAAAACGTCATCCCATTCAGAGCTCCTTCGCGGGCTGTGTAGGCTTTGGGCAAGTCTTTAAAGTAACTCGTCTGCAGAGAAGAAAAGAGGAGAGCTGAGGAGTCTGCCGCCAGGCCAGAGGAGCCCTCAGCACCTACAGCCAGGCCTAAATAACTTTCTAAGTTTCAACTGTTTGGATCAAAAGTCTACAACTCTTCGATGTCACTGCCACCTCAAGAGGGAAGGTTCTACCTTCTGCTTTCCCGTCACTATTTTCAAATTTCCTCACAACTCCTCCAGGACGTCTTAAATCAGTAAGACAGGTGCCCAGGCGCGCTGGAGGGGGCACTGCTGCCCCGGGCCTGGGCCCCCCCGGCCTCTCTCGGGAAGGGCGGCCCGCGGCACCGCAGGCGGCAGGCGGGGCCCCACGGAGAAGCGCCACCTGCGCAGCACACTCCCCCCACTAGCCGAATCCTTCACATGCGATTCCCTGGATCAGAAACGTCTTTCTCAAAAGGGGAGCGGTTTCTTCCGCGTCACCTGGCGCTACAGGGACCGAAGCAGAGGAGTCCGGTCCACCGCTAAGGAACGTCGCTGTCCGCACGGGCCCCCCGCCGGGCTCGGCGCTCCCCGCCTAGGCGGGCGCTGCGCCCCGGCCTCCGCCCTCCTGCCCGCGCGCGGGGCGGGGCACTTACGGTGTCCAGGCCCAGGGAGTGGGCCTCCAGCCCGGTCTGCTCGCGCCCAGGGTCCTTCCCCTCCGGGAAATACGTCCACGTCTGCCTTCCCCTCTCACTGCGGAGGCGCCAGCGGCTGAGGTCGGTGGCGGGCTCGGTGCGGTAGGGCCCGCCTCTGCGACGGAGACACCTGAGAAGGGTCGCGCCCCGGTGAGCGGTCGTCCTGCCCGTTCTGCCCAGGTCGGAGCCCGGAGGCCGCGGCCGTCCCTTCCGGCAGCCCACAGGCACGCCGTTGTTCTCCTCAGCTCACAAAATAAGAACTTTCCGCGCCAGCTGGGGCCCTCGCCCCCGCCGCCGAATTTCTCCCGGACGCCCCGGTCCCCGAGGCCCCTCGGCCGCGCCCCGGACCGCGCCCTCCCTTCTCGGGGGTCCCGGCCTCGCCCCGCAGGCTTGCTAGGGCCGCGCAGGGGTCCCGGGAAGCGGAGACTCACGTGCCCTCGGTCATGACGGCCGCCGCGCTGCTCCCCGCCTGCGCCCGGGCACCGGTCCGCGCGCCCTCACTACAGAGACTCGCGCCTCAGCCGACCTGCGGAGCACGGTGGGCCGATGCCCGTGCAGCCAATCAGAACGCCACGAGGGTGGGCCCAGGGGGCGCCCGGCTGCCTCAGTGGTGGAGAGCCAGACGCCCCAGCGCGGTGAGGGCGTGGCCTGTGCGGGGCGGGGCCTGCCGTCAGGTTGGGAGCTCCCGGGGGTGGCCGCCGGGAGGACGAGACGCTTGGGGTGGACGGCACGCTTGGGTAGGGTCCCGGCGCGCCCGAGGCGGGCGGGCTGGCGGGAGCGACCTGGGAGAGAGGCTCAGACGGAGGTCACAGGCAGGGAAGAGCTCCTGTCTTTGAGGGAGAGGCCGGCTGGCTGGAGGTGAGTGCTTGAGGAGAAGACGGAAGCCTCGAGGTCGGGCCGCCAGGCAGTGAGGTGGGAAGGCTCCTCCGAGGAGGGAAGTGGTGGGTACCCGGGAGGAGGCTGACAGGAGAAAGTCTCCCCGGGAGGCTGAGCCCCCAGCTGTGCCAATGGGGATGGGCCTGGTGAGGTGAGCCCCGCCCCCCCAACCCAGGGGCCGGGAGGGCCAAGTGAAGGGGTGGCAAGGGGGGCGTCAGGACACGCCCAGGGACAGCCTCGACCACTCACAGAGGTGCCCGGAGGCAGGGAGGCCCAGGATAACTTAAAGGTGAAAGGGCTTGACAGTAAAGAGAAGAGAGACAAAGGTGGAGACACAGAGTGACCGAGCTTGAAAGGGACAGGTGGGGGTGGGGGGGAGCCTGGCCCTCAGGGGGACACAGCAGAAACCTGGACTGCGGGGAGAGTGGAGAGCATCTGATGGAGGAAACGCTGCCGACCCGGAGGGACTAGAGCCACAGGACCCGAAGGCAACTCCCCAAGAACCCACAGGCCACCCAGCGTTTGGTCCTCTGCACCACAGAAGCCCTGAAGCCCGCCCCCCCCCCCCCTTCATAAGGGAACCACTGCAAGCCAGAGGGAAGGCGGTGGGGAGAAGGGCTCCTTGGAAAAGAAGAAACACACACACCTTCCCTTTAATGGAATGAGTACTGGGATTTTAGATGGTCAGTAAAGGACACTTGCCTCTTCCAATCCTCATTGAGACACTAGTAAAGATGACACACCAGTAAGATGATATTAAAATACCAGCCTTCCACAGATACAAAGCTAGTTCGGAAGACATGCTTCAGATGTGCAATCAAGAGGGTAATACTGATCCACTCCTAAATCCGACAAACATCTCTATCAACCCCTGACCAGATGGACAGCTGCAGCCTCCAGGCCACAGAGTTGCCCCACCAAGCACCATGTAGCCACGTGCCGATGAGGAGATATCCACCAGCCTGTGGACCCCAGAAAGTGTATTCAGGGCAACCTGGGCATACTTTGCCCTGTCTGTTCTCCCATATTCACCAATCCATACTTGGCTGGGAGTAGAAAACAGGTTGGAAGTTTTTTTTCAGGGATGTCCCTCCATGTGGAAACACAAAGAGTGGGAATTAGGGTTCTGGCCTACAGTATGGACATCTCAAACCCTGAGTCTGGCAAAGCCAAGGGATGGAAGTGGTTTCACTTGGAGCACACTTTGAGTTCTGTTATTTTACCGTACTGGACTTTTTATGAGCAAAATAACAATTAAAAAATATCTTGGAAAGAAAAAAGTAAAAATCCATCTGAGAATTCGTAGATAAGACTTTCTAGAGACAGTCATAAGAAAAAATAATGCTTCTCTCTACTTGCACCATACCAATTCCAGCTCATTTAATAAATTGGATACAGAAGACTCCAAAGTTTTTTTGGCATGAACAACTGGGCATATGATGGTGTTGTTTACAAAAGTAGAGAAGGTTTTGGGGGAAATTTCAACTTAGATTGGGAACATGTTAAGACAGATGCTCATCAGACTGCAAGTGGGTACACTGGAATGGACTGCTGTTCAGGAGAGAGGACAAGGCTAGAGAAAGGAATTTAGGAGTTACGTATTTTTAGGTGATGTTTGAGAACAGGAGATTGGACAAGATCAACTAGAAAGTGAGTGTTCCAAAGATTTTCAGGGTGAGCCCTGGGGCAGCAATAGTTTCCAGTTCAGAAGAGAAAGTGTAGCCAGAAAAACAGGAGAAAACCCAGAGTAATGAGTCAGGGAAGCCAAGTAATGATACGGCTGTGTAGAGGTTTTAGAGGAATTGTAAAATAAGGTCTGAGAATTGATGATTCTAAATATGGCAAGACAACTTATTGATGACTGATAAGAGCAATGTTAGGAAATGTGAAGAGAAGAGCCTGGTGGCAAAATTTTGTTTTTAAGAGGGAAATTTCCAGTTAAACATGTCAGACTGAGCACAGGCATTGACTTCCATTTCATCCAAACTCTACTTACATAAAGTAATAAAAGATAAAAACTCACAGTGAAAGAACAGGAAAGACAACACCAGTAACTAGGGAGATCAATACAATTATAGAAGCTGTGATGTAAAGAGTGATAACTGCCCTAGCAAGCCAGAAAGCTGAAACCCATAGGTAGGAGTGAAGCCATCAAGAAAGAGATCATTCTTATTAACAAATCCAAGGAAGGTGCAGAAGGAAGACCTTTTGAATAAACAGTATGATGATAGATCCCTTCCTCTACCAGAGTGGGAGCCTGTAACAGTTGACTCAGAGAAGGTATGAACTCAGGAAATAGACACAGGTGAGGTCTACTGAAAGTGGGGGATGGGGGAAGGTTGAGTGAAAGTCTTACACTCATGTAGGAGCCCAGTCCTGCTTCATCCATTCAGCCATAATAAGACTTCAGGCAGTAAGAAGAGGATTTGTCTAGGGCAAATGACCCCCCCAAAAGACCTGCGCACATTGACAGCTGGGACCCAGTGGAAAAGTGGAGAAGCCTATCAGCTGTCAGGTTGGAAGTCAGAGCTTCCAACAAGCTCCTTAGAGCCCCTTCATCAGTGTGAGACAGACATTTGAGGAAAGCCTCTATGAAGAAAGACAACAAAACACACCGAGAAAGGGATGAGAAATAGAGATGATGCCAGGTGCGGAAGAGGACTTGGACAAAAACATGTCCTCACAGAGGTAGGATGTTGCACCCATGAAACCAGAACCACCTTGATGCTCTTTCCCTCTCTACATTATTTTCCTCAGTTCTTCCCACTGATTAGCAGACCAAACAGTTTGCATATTTATCTTGTTTACTGCCTATCTCTCCATTAAAATATAAGACTTGTGAGGGCTGATGTTTGTTGCCATATCCCCAGAACCTGGAATAATACTTAGCAGATAGTAAACATTCAAAAAGTTATACTGAGTAAATGAATAAACAGGATTCTCTAAATGAGAAACATTAAGAAAAAAAACCTCAGGAATAAGAAATATGGCATCAGATTTTAAGTCCCTAGAATAGGAATTTAAAATAGGGAAATTTTAGGATAGTATGATAAAAAATAAGATTATAAAATAAAGGAGAAAAGAAAATTAGAGGATCAATCCAGATGGTCAAACATGTGAATATCAGGAGTTGTAAAGGAAAATAATGGAGGAAAGAATATATTAAATAATTTCAAAATATTTCAACATAGGTGGATAATTTTCCAGACTGAAAAAGTATAGCCTATTGTTTTCTACACCTCCCATCTCACATGCTCTTGTACAATATGGTCTTAACTAACTCATCCCAATGAGAAGTGGGATCTGCGTCCCATCTCTTGAATCTATAACCAGATACTTGTAATACCTTGCTGTGAAAGTTATCCTGCACGAGTTCCAAAGCTGGGGTTGCATTTTGCTCACTGGAGCACTTGCACTTGGACCCCTGAGATTCCATGTAAGAAGTCTGACTACCCAAGGCAACCTTTTCCTGGCCACATGGTGAGGTCACATATTAGCCACTCAGATTGAAAGGCCCAGCTGAGCCCACAGCCAACAGGGCAGCATCCCCTGCCAACCATTTGAGTGAACTTGTCTTGGACATCCAGCCTAGTCCAGCCTTCAAGTGACTACCGCCGCCCCCTGCGAATACCTGACTGCAACTGTGTGAGCAATCCCTAGAGAAAGCTGCCCGGCTGAATCCTTCCCAAATTTGCTACTACATGTTTGGAATAGTCTGTTACATAGCAATAACTACTGGGGGTGGGGAAAAAAGCACCACTAATGCACAGCACAACAAATTGGGTGGGTAATAGAGGAGGGAGAGCAACATCCAGCATGTTTTTGAGAAATTTAAGAACACTAGGAACAGATGATTTGTAAAACTTCCAGCAACAACAACAAAAACAAGGGGAATGATTATCAATCTGAAATTCTATTTCTGGGGTGCCTGGGTGGCTCTGTCGGTTAAGTGTCCAACTTGATTTCAGCTCAGGTCATGATCCCAGGATTGTGGAATTGAGCCCTGTATCAGGCCCCATGCTGAGCATAGAACCTACTTGGGATTCTCTCTCTCCCCTGCTTGTGCATGTGTGGTCTTTCTCTTTCTCCGTGCCCCTAAAATAAAGATAGATGAAGTAAAATTAAAAGATAAGGGGCACCTGGGAGGGTCAGTCAGTTGAGCATCCGACTTTGGCTCAGGTCATGATCCCACAGTTCATGGGTTTGAGCACCACATCTGGATCTGCTGTCAGCACAGAGCCTCTGTGGTGCCTGCTTCAGATCCTGTTTCCCTCTCTCTGCACCTCCCCCACTCATGGTCTCTCTCAAAGATAAAATATATAATAAAATAAAATAAAGTACATTAAAATAGGGTGCCTGGGTGGCTCAGTTATTAAGCATCTAACTTCTGCTCAGGTCATGATCTTATGGTATGTGAGTTCAAGCCCCACTCCAGGTGAGCATGAGCCCTGCTCCAGATGGGCCCGCTTCTCTCTCCCTCCCTCACTTGCTCCCTCTTGCTCTCAAAATAAACAAAATAAATAAAATCCTATTTTCATTCAAATGATGAATCAAATTTAAGAGTAGACATAAAGACAAGATAGGAAAGCTCAGAAGGCTGCTAGAATATGGGCTCCATCAAAATAAGAAAGCAAATGAAG